TTAGTCTAGCAAACAACAATAGTACATATATCAGTCGGTTTAACGTGGTCACAGCGCTGAGTACTTTACTACTTGAATTACAATAATACTGGTCGCATCCAGTGTCCTGTAGATCTGAATTCCCGGTATGCCGATAGCAGCACAAGCTAATTAACTTTGATTGATTAACTGATACAGCGTGTCAGGAACTTGAAATCGTTTATATCCTCACCTCCACAAAGTTTTTGTTTCTCCAGAAGTTGAACAAACGACTTTTACGCTGCTATGATGATGGACGCGACGACGGCGATTTTGATCATCTTGCTTATTCAACGCCTTATGAACATTTAGAATAAAAGGGAACCTTATGATTCGATAAATGATGGCACTGAAAGGTAACTGAAGAAAATTATTGTCGTTTCAGACGGCTTTAACGCAATCAATGATCAGGGCTACACAGGCTGGGGGGGGGGAGGCACACCGAAAACGCATTTAGTAAATTTAAGGCTTATTTTATTTGTAGGGTTGTATTCAAGCCTGTGTTAAACCCATATGCGGAGTTCCATCGTTAGTCATTTACGAGGTATTCGAAGTACTAATTTTTCCTCCCCTCGACGTGTCTGCCTCAAAATAGTAGGCAGTAAGACGATGAAGTGATTTTGTCATGAACATTCTTCGAGCTGCCTCTGGCTATCATTACTGAATCTGTTATCTACTTTCCGTCGCTAATGGTGCTCCATGGGCGCACGTCGATTCTCCTCAAGTATCTTATATTATCCTCTTTCTATCTTAACCGCTGGCCAAGTAATTTGGCCATTGATCGTCGCAATTCTTGATGTTCACTCGTTGTGTCGTTTTCGAGCCACTTTGCAGATCCGTCCTCTCTTATCGTTCCACCAATTTTCCATTGTCTCCATAGAACTGCAAATGCAGAAGTTGTTTAATATTTAAGTTTTCCCCAGGAGGCAGCTGACTTCATCCTAACTGCAGTTGTCTCAGAACTGGTTGTACTACCACAGACATATCTGACATAAATTGGTCGCTGCAGAATTGCTTTGTTTGTCCATGCTATCAACCTTTCGTTAGAGATTCAAGCACACGTTACCCTCGCAACAGCTGGACAATTAATTATGAAGAAAAAAATTAAAAACCCAGAAGACTGTAAATTTTTTCATTGTTATCCTGAGACATGTTTGCAATGCAAGTGCGCATAGCCGTACAGCTCTCGCATCTCTTTGAGAATAGAAGACCAGATGTCCACAAAAATTCTGGAAAGCCATCGTAGTCCCTATCTTTGGCCATTAAACTATCTGAGTTGTAATCGATAGA